GCATGCATACACACACACACAAACAGACGTACCTATTAGGCTACATCGTATGGCAAATGCGGGAGTGACGAATAGCTGACTGAATGGCCTCCGAATTTCCCTCACATAAACATTTTTCCCCGTGTCAATCAGGTGTACCTTGAACACGGTTGGTGATGCCTCAAAGACAATCGCCCTGTACCAGTCATCTGCCAACACCAACAGGTATACTTACTATAGGTGGTCGGCCAGCGCTGGCGACCGATTAAGTATTTCGTAGTTCACATTAGGGAATTGTAAAGCGAGCGTACTTGCAATAATATTAAAAGCAGTGGGAATCTGAAACAAACACCAGTGGCGAACTAATGTGCTAAGAATGAAGTACTGAGAGACATTTTATGTCAATGACATTGACCATTATCATATTCTGGTGAACACGCTTAAAATGTGGGATTCGGTATAGCAGGGACATTGAAATTTTACAGTCTATCAGGAATTCTAATCAATTTGTGGATAAAACAATTACTTTTTTGCTGTTAACTCCGTATTTTAATTGTGATTAAAATCCCAAATAAATGTATAACAAAGTAAAAGAAAACCCCCGTTATCGTGGGGTGCATTTTAACGAGGTTATACTGTATGTGTTACCCTCCGATTTGGCAATGCATGTCTCTCCTACTTCAGGTGTGAAGCTGGTGTCACCTGTTGTACCATTATACAACTTTTGCATGGATTTCTGAAGCTCTGTCACCATGGCAGTGTCTTCCGATGAAAACGTATTTCATTAGTCAGTATAGTACTACTATAAAAGCCCATAACAGTTGTACACTCCTAGAGTATAAATTAAACGCTCCTATTCAGATTTAAGAAAATATTTCACTGCAGTTAAACAAAATGTTTGACCAGTTTAACCACTCAACTCCTATTTTCTATCTGATTATGTCTTTACTGAGCACAATAATCGAGTAGTGAGTGTCGATAAATGACCGTTTAGATTCATATCACTTTTCCTGTAAGGACAAGAGTACTTCTACACAAGATAAGAAATAAAACATTACCTTCTGCACGGACAATAAAGAAATATTGAGGTGAAGATGGGTGGGTGGGTATTATTGGAATTTCTACATGCTGTGGCAAAACCCTGGAAGATGGAAGTTCATCCACATAGATTGGCGACCTCTTTGCGTTATATCTCAGTGTCTCGAGTAATTGTGTGTTGAACTGTAATGCATGTAAAAACCAATGCATTAGACCGAGACGTGATGTCACATGTACGCACCCAAGTGCTGGCAAACTAAGAATAAACCATCCTACTATTAAATCAATTACGTCTGCAATGTTATCAGAGATGCCGCTCTAGTCGCGCTTCCTTTAGGGTTCGTACACCTAATGCAAACAATGTTTCAGGAATTTACAAAGACTTAATTAGGTAGTCACTGTAATATAGTTTAGTGCATTTTCCTTAATCACGGAGCATACGCCCATCGACGGCAGCCATGTTACTCTGGTTTCATAGCAGGCTTTTCCCAGCAAGGCTACTCACAAGGCTACGTACAATTATGCAGGCGAGGTATCTACATCTTAGTATTATATACAGCAATGAGATAAACGCATTCCTACAGCAGGTGTTCACTGAAACAAATCAGAACGGCGTGCACTGCTCAAGAGCACAACCACTATGCACACGAACCACAGACCTCGCCCTAGTCAAGTGCGCCGCGCGACTATGCACCCACTCAGTCTCCGCACCGTCGACGAGGTATCGAACTTACGTCATCGTCCTCCCCTCCGTCCGGGTCCGCGATGATAACGGGCGTCGGCTCGTCAGCGTTGGTGGCGCCACCATGTACGGTCGCCGTCCGTTTGCCGTCCATCAACGCTTGCCCGAATGAGCGGGTGATGTCGTCCGGCATGTCCGGCGGTGCGAGGTACGCGCGCAGATGCAGCGCCTGCGGCGGCAACTTCGCGAGCTCTGGCGACGCCCGCGCCACGTCCGCCGCGACGACGCACGACACGTTGCCGTAGTCGATGTAGCGCACGCAGAGGACGCCACCGCCGTCGTCGTCGAGGACGCGTGCGCGGTACCACGCGCCGTCCGCGTCAAAGCGCGCCGCCACCAGCTCGCCGACGACGGCTGCGTACGGTGGCGCCCCCGCAGCTGCGGCGCCGTGACGACGTGTGAGCTCGGCGATCCGGTCGAGCAGCGCGGTGGCGCCCTCGTGCGATATGCGCGTAGGAAGCCTTGGGCCTGACTTCGTAGTGGACGACGCGGACAGGCAGCGAGACACCAACGGGTCATCTGCACTGCTCGCCGGGTCTGACCATTCGACGCGGGCCCCGCCCTCCACCGCCCGGTCTAGCGACGGCGACTCGGAGCTTGCCACTCGCACTCGCTGTCCAGCAGAGGGCGTGCTGTGCAGCGACCGGACCTCGAGATTCGAATTACTGGCCTGACCGCGCACGCTCGGCTCAGTCGCTGCTGCTCGGTCTTGGGATAGCGAATCAGTGATCTTCACCGCTAATCCCTCGTCGACTAGTGCCTTTGCAATGTCCACTTGCTGACCAGTCGGTCCCACTGTACTAGCCATAACACTGACCTCTCCTTCTGCAACCTTCTTGATTTCTACATCAATATTAGAGTCAGTGAAACTTTCCTTAAGGGTCTGAGTACAATACTGACTCCAACTGCCGGTATGCGACGTGATTCCATCGAGGCGCCCTCTAATGACCTGCTTAGGTAAGGCCGCTAGATCGCTGTCTAACAGTCGTAAGGCAGACAGAGTAAGCGTCTCACTGTTTCCGTAATCGATGTAGAGGACTTCGACGCTGTCGCCGGTTATGGAGACAACTTGACCCCGATACCAGATTTTATACTCGTTTGACAGTGCAGCGACTAGCGATGTGACGCGAGGCCTGGCAAACACAAAACAACAGGTGTGATAACATGTCTCAATAACTGTTGGCACCTGAGCCATGCCATGATTCAACTCGGATGCAATAAACTTCATTAGAAATGCTCCTCAATTGTTTAATTAAGATTTGTCCCTCTCCCGCGGTAAAATTCTAGACTTTAAAAAGTAGTAATTTTGCAAGCATTAACCCCCATGAAAGATAATGACCCATTCTATTGAGGTTAAATCAAGGATCAGGAAACACAGACCTGTAGGTAGGATCAAATTTGCTGCCATTATACTTCTGCTGCAATTGTACTGTCTTCTTATCCACCTGCTCTTGTCTATCAATCTGAAAAACAGCATTTCGTCTGGTGACTAACGACCAATGTTTATTACTTACGAAATATTTTCTGCATTTTACCTAGCACAATGTGCTCAAAATCTCCAAGTGCAACATCTGACAGCAGTTAATGAATCCCCGAATGATTCTACAAGATCTATCTCATTATCAACTTTCCAGCATAGAGCTCTACACAGTATTAAGGTAAAGAAGGCATCCTCACCTCACTGTAGTGAGATGCACTAGTAAAAGTGCGCACTAGATGATTGCAACTGCATTAAAGTGATTATGTCACCGTAAATAATAAAAAATAAAAAATAAATTTCCACTTTTTCACAAAATATAAGTAATTCTGTTCACTTTTTATGGTTAAATTGCTGCATTATACTTCTATTTTACTATATTGTTCGATGTGAACATACACTTGTGACGCATACATAGCCCTATAGCATAGCAATTCGGTTTAGGAACACTAATATCAAATCGTCCAGGTTTTTTTGATTTTTAACTAGTTGAGAAACAATCTTATCAGGTAAGAATTTGACGATACGTTTCGTCCCGTTAGTTCTTACTTTTACTGTAAAAAAATGGCAACAAAAATTTTACCATAGAAAATTCATGACGTAGTCAATTTAACTCTATATTGGTGTAATGGTTAATCGTGATATGATTAATTGCAATAGAATGTCCACAATATGATACATGATACACCTTCACATGTATGAGTAACAATAAGCCATGAAGAGCCAAATGGAAATCTGCACTTAACAAACGTCAATCATCCACTCGATGCCTTTGTCAGGTTGTCAAAATCTAAGTCGGTTGCACCGTGCAAGTTCTCATGTGATAAAAGGAGCATGCTAATTTGACAATGTTACATTCACTGTCTAATCACTACATGCCTTGTAATTTTTATATCACAATATGTTACATAGTGCAGTAATAAAACCGAAGAAGTACGCAAAGCTTTATCCAATCAACTCAAACACATAACTATAACCAGTCATCTAACTAAACACAGCAACTGTATAGCAGGATTAGGGCGCAAAATTAGCACCGGCCCCCCGGCATATGCCGGCAAATTATTTGGAGGACAGTAACATTGGCAAAACACCGGCCCGGTGGTTTCAGCCGTGTTAGCGAGTACCTACATTTTTATTTATAGCATTAATGAGCAAATAGCCTACATTACTGTTTTACCTGAAGGATATGACGCTATAGTTTATCAACATTTTACAAATTTGAAATCGAGAACGCAAGCGTGAAACATGATATTGAGAAAATCATTTCAGACATCATTCACGATCTGCATTATAGTCTGTTCAACAGCTACTATGCGATGTCGCACACTGCAACATTTTTTTGACAAGCAAGAGTTAGTGAAACAGTCTCATCTTTTTGGAGAAAAAATTTCCGAATTTCATTCCCTGGTATAGACGTGTTGCGTGTGTGACTTTAGGGAAATGTTCCATTTCACTGAAATAGAATCAGACATTACAAGGCATGTAGTGATTAGACAGTGAATGTGACATTGTCAAATTAGCATGCTCCTTTTATCACGAGAACTTGCACAGTGCATCCGACTTAGATTTTGAGAACCTGACGAAGGCATCGAGTGGATGGTTGACGTTTGTTAAGTGCAGATTTCCATTCGGCACTTCACGCCCTAGTATCGTATCGTGAACTAGGCATATATTGCTGAAGTACCAAGTAACGCGACTGCCGATCACTCTACGAATGCTATGTTTAATACACAGACACATGAATAGGGTGCGAGGCGAGCCCATCACCGACTCCGTGAGATCAAATGATACGTGCCCATCAGCAACGTATATGCCAATTACCTGTAGGTAGAACTCATCAGGCGAGACCCAGTGAACCAGTAAGCATTGAAATCTTTCTCCAGGTGCGAGCAAGACGCCTAGGTGCACTTTACCGACGACCTCTCGCACTCGCTGCCCGGCAGAGGGCGCCCCGAGCGGCGGCCTGACACTGCTATTCGAATCACGGACCTGACCCCTGACGCTCGGGTCACCAGTTGCCGGTCGCCCGCCCACGACGCAACTACTGGTTGCTGGTTGGATGTGGGATAACGATTCGGAGATTTTCACTGCATGGGCAGCAGTGACGAGTTCGTTTCCAATGTCCACCCGCTGACCATTTGATACACCTGTAACTGTAAAGCTGACCACCCCATCTGTAATGCTCTTGACAACTGCATCAAGCAGTGGGTCAGTACTCATCATCATCTGAAAGGACTGAACACAATCCTGACTCCAGCTGCCGGTATGCGACCTGATACCATCGAGGCGCCCTCTAACAGCCTGCTTAGGTAAGGCCGCTAGATTGCTGTCTAACGGTCGTAAGGCAGACAGAGTAAGTGTCTCACTGTTTCCGTAATCGATGTAGAGGACTTCAACGCTGTCGCCGGTTATGGAGACAATTTGACCCCGATACCAGATGTCATACTGGTTTGACAGTGCAGCGACTAGCGATGTGACGCGAGGCCTGGCAAACACAAAACAACAGGTGTGATTAAACAGAAGGGAGTGGGTAACAAGTTTATACAATACAGACAGATCTAGACAACAATCTAGGAATGATCTCTGCGAGAGAATACATCATGAATCCATCTTGCCGGCTGGACTATTTCGTCTGTACGTTTCAATTCTTATGTTCAAATCTCACAGCTCAGGAATGCTCTTTCCAAGGACACCACTTTCTATCAGAGAATTACTGCATTTATTTGTGAAAACCTCCTCACTTGACAGCAAATTCTATGCCTGTTGCTTACACACCTAAAAGTAGGATCGCAAGGAATGCGTGCACACTCCGCCTGCAGTTTCTCCTCTAGCTGTTTCTGCTGCTGAATGTATTCTGGCGAGCGGATCTGAAACATGGTTACACACGCGCTACAACAGAGTGCAACCTTAGACGACCGACGAAAGTAATGCAATCACGTGCTAGCTACGCGCCACAGAAATCCAAACAAGAGAACATTCCGAATTTACAAAGATTATGCAGAAGAGTAATTAAGAAAAAATATTAGTTTGGAAAAAAGACAATCGAGAATGACACCTGTGGACAATCTACGCTACACCCACCCAGGCCCGAAAGAGGGGGGACACTGGCCCACAATTCCAGGTGTGGCTGGCAGGCAACGTGCAAGTGATCCAGCTGTTAAGATTATCGCGTACAATTATTTTGTGGCCACGTATTTGCTGCTGCAGGAACGAACTCTCTGCAGTGGACCCGGCGTCACGGCGCACGACGCCGTGGCGGCGGTAGGGAGAACTTACGATCACGTAGAACTCGTCCGGTGACACGCAGTACACGGCCATGCACTCGACCCTCGCTCCGGGTGCGAGCGAGTCAGCCGCGCTCGCCCCGCCCGTGGCAGCCGGCAACCTCTGCACGTTGGCCACGACGAGAGACGCCGCGAGCAGTTGTCCGACTCTCTCGTTGACGTCGACGTCCTGATCGTCGATGCTGACTTTCAGCTTGACATTTGCCGTGCCGTGCTGCTTGCCTTGCAGCTTTATAGTGCAGTTTCTGCAAGAGAAATAATGCACGACCTATAATGCACGCACGCACACACGCACGCATGCACGCACGCACACACACACGCACACACGCACACATACAGAAGCCAATGATGTTTAATCATTGGGGAGGGTGATTTCTGCTTCCAATGAATGGTAAGTTCAGAGCACTTTATCCCCCAAAACCTTGCACAGCAATGATAACTTGATGCAAAAATAAATAAAAAAACATTTTTAATGTCCATTAATTCTTTCTTAACAACATTTATAATAGCAACATATTAGTCATTACTGCTATGTGCCGTGATTATATATATAAAGTATATCGATCACACATACCATGTATGTCGATCCGATATATATCATGTATAAACCAAACACATATATCATACATATATCGTGATCACACATAAACCCCCCAAATCAGTTATTTCCCTACACATAATGGGACTATACACTTTTTATTCGCTCACACTACCTCTATTTAATTCATATGTAATCACCCCATAAGTTGTTTAGGATGGGCACAAATGTTTAATTGTATACTATTTCCCATATTTTTATGCTTATGCCTGTGTTGATACACAAAAATATTTTACCTTCCAACTGTGTATTCTGATTCACAAATTAAATTGCATCCTAGATATATATTTTACATACCCACACAATGTTTGGAAAAATTGTAGTACATCCTTAGGCCAGTCACTAGATGGTACTGCTATGTCCGACAGACAACACTTCACCACCTGCAATGCAATTACAGATTAAGATTTAAAGTAATAAGCAGATGGTAATCAACTCGTTCTTAAATTGAAATGTCTTAAATTTTACCTTCAGCATATTCACCTACTTATTAGTAAATAATCAATTCTTTATGCAATATTACTTGAGCCTACTTTTAACTTTTAGTCTTACACAAATATTTATACACCTGTATATATATACTACACAAAATATTGATAAATGGGAAAAAGCCTGCTAAAATTTTATGATAATGCTAAAACTCAACAAAAGCAAGTTAAAGATGTTCATCAGCTAGTGTACTACAAAGTGCGACTTGATATATATGTGCACAATACAATAAATGAATGCAGATTATACCTACAAACTCAAGCACTGCACATATTACACAAGCTTCACAATCTCAAACTCTCTAGCCCTCACTACCGACGCACTCTGCTGTCAGAGCTCCCCGCTCCTGCCTGCGCTAACCTGCCTAACCACCAGCCATCTCCCTATTCACTCGTGCGCGAGCGCGAGATTCCCCGGCTCATTAATTACACCGATCATCGTTAAGCATCTACACTCACGAGCATTGGCAGGAGCTTGAAGGTCGCGTCAAGGTGGTGCACTGTCCGCAGGTCGACGCGCGCGCGGTTACCGAAATCCACGTAGAGCACGTCTCCGGCGGCAGACTCGACGATCGCACGGTACCAGAGGCCGTCGACGGCGTACTTCGCAGCGACGGCGTCACCGACGCCAGGCCTGCGGAGGATGACGCGACGGTAACACGCCATCCACTCATAACACTGCATCGACTATATATTACAGCTCACCGACTATATATTTAATATTACAACTCACCGACTATATATCACACCTAGTTGGCTATATGTTACGCATTACTGACTATATATATTACCAACTATATATTACACTGTACCGACTATATATATTATCAACTATATATTACACTTTACTGACTATGTATATTAACAACTATATATTACACTTTACTGACTA